GCCGGAGCTCCTCAGAGTGAGGCGCCCCGGGTGGCGGGTGCCCCCCCACCCCCGCCACCCCGCCCCCCGGGCACCCGACCCGCCCTCAGCTCTCAGCTCCCCACCACGCAAGGTGCAGCGGACCGACCTGGTGGGCAAGCGGATGATCATGAAGACCTTTGGCGGCCATGGCACCTTCGTCGGAGATATCGTCTCTTACGACCCGGAGACGGGATGTTACCAGCAGGTCACCTATGAGGACGGCGACAAGGAGGGCTTCTCGCGAGCCTCTGTCCAGGCTGGCGTGCGGCGATTCCAGGCCCAGGCAAAGTGATGCGATCCGTCTCGCCGAGGCGCGCTTTTTTGCGTCCGCCTCGGTAGATGTTAGAGACTTTCGGTGCGTTTGGAGCAGTGCGGACTGTCTGTGCAGAGTAGAGTGGGGTCTCACCCGTTTATTAGTTTATTTGTAGTATTGTTCTGTGTGAGCGGTGGTACGCCGCACAGGCCGCTCTCCCTCGCCTCGGCGGTGTGCGGGTGGTGCCGCGGCGTGGCGCGGGCCGGGGGCGCGCGGTAGGCGTACGGGGCCGCGTGCGCGTGGCCCGCCCGTGGTGCCCCTGGCTGGGTCGGGCAGCGAGCACCCCCCCGGGACGGCGCATCGCGAGTGAGGCCCCGGGTTGGGGCAGGTGAGGGAGGGGGCGGGGACGGCCAGGCCCCGGTGAGCCCCGGGTGAGGCCCGACCCCCCCCCGTCCCGGGGCTACTGTGATAAGCACATACCGGTAGCGAACCGACGCTGCTTCACCTGCCAGCGTCGGTTCGCCCTGTTCGCAGATCTCCTGTGCCGCCGCCATGTGCCTTTCGCCGGCGCTGCCGAGCGGTGAGGACCTCGTCCGCCATCAGCTCGAGCTGCAGCTAATCCTCCAGGAGGTGCACCAGCGCTACGCCGGCCGCTCAGGGAGGTACAACAAGCACGACAGACGCGGGCGCGGCAGCTGCTGTCGCTGCATGGCGAGCGGGCTCTGCAGGCGCGTGTGCGTGGCACGGACGGCGGGCGGGCGCCGCGGCAGGTAGCGGACCCGCCGTCGCTGAGGCCGGCGCCGCCAGACGTGCCCAACGGCCCGTTGCCTCTCGACCACGTCCGCCTGCTGGCCGAGGAGCGGGGGGCGACGATCGAGGAGGCTGGCGAGGGCGAGGAGGTGGACGAGGGCGATAGCAATGGTGGCTTCGACGTGCAGGACGAGGGTGGTGGGGGTAGTGAGGCGGAGGAGGTGTCGGAGGAGGAGGAGGAGGAGGAGGAGAGCGACGGCGTCGGCGAGGGCGGGGCAGCGAGGGCGATGCCTCCTTCGCACACGCGACTGACTCGTCCTATTCATGAGGTAGGCGCGCAGATCGGCGGCGCGCGCGGTGTTGGGCGCGGCGGGCGCGGCGGGCGCGGCGGGCGCGGCGGGCGCGGCGGGCAGCACCGAGGTGGCCGTGCAGCCTTCGAGTGGCAGCTCCCCGCCGACGCGTCCGAGGAGCTGGTGCAGTGGTTTAACAAGATCAACGCCGACTTTCCGGAGGATAGCATGCCGCCCATCGGCAACGCAGCTCGAGCGCGGTGGCTGACGCAGCGGCGGCAGCGGCGGGCGCAGTGGAGGCGGAGGTACGCGGAGGAGGCGGCGGGTCTAGACCGAGAGCAGTATTATGAGGCGGCGAGGGCG